ATGTCAAAATAGCATGAATTTAATCTATAATATTTTTAAAACTCTTGATCTAAAGTGGCTAGATTTTAATTTAAAGCATTTTAAGTTAAAGTCATCTCATCGTGACTTATATGTAAATTTTTTAAAATTGTCCATTTTTGATAAAATTAAAAAAATATACCAGATTGATTAAAAGAAATGACAAAAAATAAAATGTAAAAATTATGAAGATATAAAAAAAATTAATTGTACATAGAAAATACTACAACATTTTAAAATATATTTATTTATCAAACACAACTTATTAACAATAAACAATGATAACGAAGACATATTATTGATTGGTAGAGAACTCTATATCTAATTATAAATTAATAGCCAACAGTATGTACCGTATACAGTAATGCATGCAAATTTTGTACTTAAAAAAATATATAGTAAAACAGTATACGTAAATGGAAATAACATTGTCTTACACAGAGATTTCTGATATTTTGATTTGTTTGAAAAGGTAAGATGTGAGTTAAAAAGAATGAAAGATTTGAAAGATGCGTATAAGAAAAGAAAAAGTTAGAGTGTGGTCCCACAGAAGTCTGGGGCTTTTACTGTTCATACCTCCAATCAGGAACATAAAAGTTTGAAGAAGCATTGTTGCCTCTTCTGATTTTTTGTCCTATTCCCAACAGCCCAGAGAAAGACTCAAAGAAAAGAAGATTCAGCAGAAATATAACGACTCTCTGTGGTTTATTGAACTAATTATTTAGGTAAGGACTAAGAAGAAGAAGGGAGTGTTCAGATATTTTGATTAGAAGCAACTTATAAAAAGAAATGAGTAAAATAATGTCAGAAAAAAGAGAGCATTGAAATTGAAAGTAGAAGTTTAGAATATTGTAAGGATATTTGGGCAATAGAATGAAGAGCATTGAATTTTAGAGACCCATATGGCTGTATTTAATTTGAGGAAATTAAAAGGCCATGTGAGAGTCTGTGATGACTTACACCATGATGCCCTACTCAGGACCAAAACAAAACAAACAACACATGATATCTCTAGTACTCCTAAAAATGTTGCACAGTTTTCTAGCACTAGGACAAAATTTAATGAACCCCCCAAACAAAATACTACAAACAAATACAAAGAAACCTAATTAAAACAAACTAGTCACCACTAATAATTTACATTATGCTGCAGCTCTCCGTGTTCTCGTCGCTGAAAACATGCGTCATAGGATCCGCCATCGGGTGTGACGGCATTGGTGGCGGTGGAAAGTAGTTCATCGACGGTGCCCTTCCGTACATCATATGCGGTGGGTACATACCCATGTTCGCTTGCTGCTGCTGCTGTTGGTTCATCATCATGGCCATCAATTGTTGTTGTTGCTGCTGTTGTTGGATGCTGTAAGGGTTTTGCTGTTGCATATGCATCGGCATCCCTTGCATCCCTTGATAGTAGCCACCGTTCATCGCCGCCGCGGCTGCCGCTGCCGGTAATCCTTGCACCGCCGGGATGTTCATGTTCATGTTCCTCATATGGTCCATTTGACCCATCTGATTCGTTGGGCCTCGCTGACCCATGGGGCCCATCTGGTGACTCATTGGACCCATGTGACCCACATTACCATTATTGGCACCGTGACCCTTGCCATTACTGTTTTTACCATTATTGCTGCCCTTGCCATTTTTACCTTGGGGAGAGATATCGAAATCTTGAAAGTCAAAGTCAATTTTGTCCATTTTACCTCCTCCGTTTTTCTTTCCTTTGCCGCTGCTGTTGTTGTTTCCACCTCTGTTGTCTTTATTCTTGGTTGCTGTTGTGTCGGCCGAACCTCCTCCCTTCTTGTTCTTTTTCCCAAGGCCGAGAAACCGAACAAGGAAGCCACCACCATTTTTGGCTTTGGAGCTCTTTTTCTTGTTACCATGGTTATGATTGTTATCTCCCCCACCGCCACCACCCTTTTGCTTTCCACCTTTGTTCTTTTGACCACCATCTCCATTGCCTTTTTTCCCTCCATTTCCATTTTTACCCTCGTTGAAGTTTCCACCTTTGCCTTTCATCTGTATGGGTAGATCGATGACCTCACCCTTCTTCACACTCCCAAAATTCCCACCCCCATTCCCTTTATGGCTGTTCATCCCAGGCCCATTCATCATTCCGCCAGGCCCATGAGGCCCACGCCCGTTCCCCATCTGGCCCATCTGGCCCATCTGGCTCATCATCTTGTTGTGTTGCATAGGATGCCCCTGTCCCTGCCCCCGGCCATGGCCATTACCATGGCCGTGTCCATACAGTTCCTCCTCATCCTCTTCGTCAAAATCATCATAATCGTCTTCAAACTCATCGTAGTCATCATCAAATTCATCAAAATCTTCATCTCTTTCATCAAGTTCATCCTCTGATAAGTTGAAGTTGACAGATTTCTGATTCTTGGGGGGTACTTTTGACCCTTCCTTCATATTTTGGAAGTGTGCTAGTTGACCACCACCTCCACCGCCTCCGCCTCCGCCTCCTCCACCTTTCTGAGGAGCACCACCCTTGTGATTGTGAGACTTGTTGTCCTTGCCTCCTTTGGTGTTATCTATGTGCAAGTTCTTGAACTGAGGGTAGGTGGGGTAGTTTTGGTTGTACATCATGCCTCTCTGCCCACCCCAAACTTCGGCATGCTTCCCTGACCTCTTCAGCTTTTTTATCAGCTTCGCTGGATCTATGTGCCCTGACACCATTACCTTCCCTCGCTCCGCATCTATGTTCACGGAATACACTCCTGCACACCAATAACTCACTATGCTTAACGACAAACTTAAATAATACTCTCCAAAACTAAACTGTCGAATCTCAAATCTAATTATCTTTGCTTGCAAATACAGAAACCATCCTACCCAATAAAGAAAAGTTCCAATCTATGTACCAAGAAAAAAAAAATAAAAAAGTAAACTTGGAAGCTACATACCAAGATAAAGAGAGTAAAGTTGGAAGCTTGATGTATAACATCAAAATAAAGTGGATAAATTAGGCGACAGGATAAAGTTGAGTAATGAAGCTAATTAGCATCGCATGAGAATTTGAAAAAAAGAAAAGGCAAAATGGTGGGTGCTAGAGATGTACCATCAATTTTCTGCAGGATTTTCTTTACTTTCTGTTCACAGCCATCGCAGTGGATATTCACCTTGAGAAGGCAATTCTACACGGGGGAATAAAAACACAACATAGATCAGTTATCACAAGTTTAGGGAACAGTACATCTTAAGCAGAATAACAAACAGGTTTGTCTTTTGAACTAGTTTAATTAAGCTATGAACAAAAGAGTGAAAGCAGTAACAAGTGTGCACCTGAACTTTGAGCATGTCTTGTTTACTCATCCTGGTTGGATAGGTGGTGGTTCACACACACAGCACAGATATGTGAGTGGAGAAGTAGAGAACAGACAGTGAGAGTAGTGTTTTGAGAATTGTTTTTTTAGAGAGAGGAAAGGTTATTGTTGGTACGCATTGGACACTTCTATATTTGTTCCTTTCCTCAAGTATCCGTACTGTTTAGGCTCAAACACACGTACAAGAACAGCAAAGTCACATTTTAGAGAGAAAGAAAGAAGAGAAGAGAGAAGGTGATTTTCGAACCAGGGTAGATAGCTTCCTATGACTGTGAGTTGGCTTTATGTTTTATGCTTTATAATATATATATATATATATATATATATATATATATAAATAAGAAACTCGTGAACCTTTCAAAGTGGTCTCACACTGACAGCTTAATACTGCCATGCCTCACCTAAAAAATTAGGACCAAACTATCTTTTTAATCTGTTTTCCTTTTCATAAAATGACACACTGACTTACTTTGACCCCCTTCTTTTACCCTATTCAGCCCATTAGCTTCTGGGCCGGCCCTGTTAAATTGGGCATGCAAAAATGTATATATTTTGAGTGTTTCATCCTACACCTCCAACATCTCATCCTGCACCTCCAAAAATTGCATTTTTAACCTTCTGACATCCTGCACCTCCAACCTTTTTAAAAATTTCATTTTTAACTTTCTTCTCTTTCTAATTAAAGACATTTTATTTTCTTCTCTTTTTCTTTTAAAGACACTCTACACCACCTTAATGATAATTCTAATTTAATTTAAAATTTAAATATTATTTAATATAATTTTATATTTTAATAATTATTAAAATATGATTTATATTATAATAATAACTATATTAAAAAAATAAAAATAAAATAATTAAAATAAAAATAAAAATAAAATAATAATAATAATATAAAATTTGACTTAATA